TTGAGGAACTTCTGGCCTCAGAGTTTTCTTTTGTTGGGGGTATTACTTGGAACCCTGACTGATGGTGCTGAATGAATGGTGGTTATGACCACTCCTTGGACTTCCATCCATTCCATCATCTCTATGGTCATGAGATTGCAACCTGGGCACTTGGTAGCTAGTTTGCACTTACAACTAGTTGCAGCATGGCCAACAGTCTACGAGTGGCAGGGCTAGTTGCTCAAAGTAGCAAGACTGAAAGAAGCAGCAAAGTGCAAGGGGCAGAAATGGGAAAGATATAAGTGGGTGGGGGGACTTGAAGAAGAGACTCTCCCTTATCTTACAAGTCTCAAGGCTGGCAGGGCTGGTAATGGCACTGATTAGGTGAGTCTGATCTAACAATAAGTGGGATTCAGTTAATGATGGCAACTGGGACTGCCAGGATTGCTGTCACTAAGCAGTGCAGTCATGTGACATTGCATTTTACAACCACATCACTTAGCAATAGAAATTCTGATCCCAATTGTCATTGTTACTTGAGGATTACCTATCTACTAAAATGGTCAGAAAACCACTAGAGTTGCCATAGAACTGTCCTAATATATTTTGCCACTATTATACTGCAATCATTTAGCTTTGAATTTAGAAGAAATTTTCAGAATTATATATCAAAGACACCTATTTTATGCCATGTGACAAATACCTGATTTTTTGGGGATTTGGTAACACAAATGAGTCTTCTCCAAATGTATTGGGAAGACTTTCAATATTTCTAGAAAACATCATTACTATCAATAAGTAATTCTGACAACTACAGTCCCAACATAATCTGGTCACAAGCAAGTTGGACCTGATGGCTCAGCAGACTAAAAGCATTGTGATTAACACCAGCTGTCTGCAATTACTGTAAGTTCGAAGCTCATCAGGCTCAAAGTTGACTCAGCCTTCCATCCTTTCTAAGGTAGGTAAAATGAGGACCCAGTTTGTGGGGGCAATAAGCTGACTTTGTATAAATATACAAAAGTATGAAGGCTATTGCTTAACGCATTGTAAGCCGCCCTGAGTCTCTGGAGATGGGCGGCATATAAATCAAATTAAAAAAAAAAAAGTTGAGAAAGAATGCACTAGTGTCTTCTCGGATCATGTCATTCAGAGAGTTGAATTAGTGAAGCCATGTGGCAGAATGAAAAATTACAGTATGAATGATTGGAAATCTGATTCCACTTAAACCCATAGACCCTGCAACCATTTCTTGTGCTGATTGCTGCAGTACAGGACTATCTTTGAGGCTGCAATTGCTGCAAAATGCAGCAGCTTACTTGTTGGCAAATGGGAGCCTCGGTGCCACCTGCTATTAAAAAAGTGAAAACTCCATTATTTATTAATATGCCTTTGTGTACAATTCAAGGGGCTAGACAAATACATAAAGCCCTTTATAGCTTGGAATCTAAGTAGCTGAATCCTTGCATACTTTAGCTTCACATTCATTGCTTTTAATACTTCCTTTTTCTAGAAAAACCAATATGCGATTCTCTAGAAAAGATATGTGAACATTTCAATCCTACAAATATTCCTCCTTAATGAGAGGAAGAAAAGGGAAGGGAAAGAGGAGTAGGAGAGAGGGTTAGAAAGGAAGGAAGAAGAGAGGAGTGGGGGAAGGGAAGGGGAAGTAGGAAAGAGAAGGAGAGGAAGAACGAAAAAAGTAGGAAGAGATGGAGGAAGGAAGAGAAGGGGAGGAGAACAGGAAAAGTTGTGGTAAAATAAAGGCGGGTAAATGGTAAAAGAGCAGACCTAAACAACTAAAAATGAAAGTTAAAAAATAAGATGAATGGAAAATGATGGATGAAAGAATGTACATTTAAATATGTTTATGAGAAATAAAAACATTTTTTTGAAAAAAAATATTCCTCCTTAATGAAACCAATATGTATAACCAGATAATTTAAATATTTATGAATAAGCACTGCTTTCATGTAAGAAATGGCAATCATTTAGAAAGTCGGCCTTATAAGAATAATGTTGAATAAGACATGGAAATTCTTTACAAAAATACTTTCCTTCTAATGGAATTTTTTAAAGTTGTATGTTGTTATAATGATGTGAGTGGCCAACAATTTAAAATAATTATAATAGTTTATAATTATTTATAATTTATAATAATTTATAGTAATAGTTCATAATAATTAGATATTTGTCTTTCTCCCAGATTTCTCCCATAAAGCTACAAACTGCTGAATGAGATAATGTTGCTAATCACTGTATCCACTTAAGGCACCAGGCTAGAAAGCAGAACACTGTGAGTTCAAATCCCATTTTAGATATGGACCAGTCTCTCTCTCTCTCTCTCTCTCTCCCCCCCCCTCAGCCTAATGCACCTCACAGGGTTGTTGTGGGGAAAATAGGAGGAGGAATATGTGTTGCATATGTTCCACCATCTTGAATTATTTGTAACAATAATAAAGATTGAATGTAAATAAATAAATAAATAGGAAGGATTTAAGGGTTGATGTAGCCCTAAACTACCCTAAACAAAATATTAAACAAACTGGATATAAAACAAATACCAGCTTTTATGATTAAAAGAAAGCAACAAATGCGTATCGCCATGCTTTTACATATTAAGAACTTGGTCATTAGAACTGAGTCTCAAAGTCACATGTATTTGTTGGCATGGATGGAATTTGTCCTCAGTTAGAGAACTGGTGTGGGTAAGACTATGGTTTGTACAATAACTTTCCATTAAAGCACAGTACACTTTGGTGAAGCCTTGAATTGGAAAATTGCTACAGGTTATGTTAATTTTTAATTTCATTATGTGATCTTTCTGTCCGAGCTTGTGCTGCTTGTGTTTTTCTCTTCCCAACAAAGGGCAAAGGCTGTTTCAGCTTTTGTGCCTGTTTATGTGATGGAGAGAAAAGATCTTCAACTTTAGCACTGAGCAGAACAGAAGGGCAGGCTTTTTTGACAGCAAAAGTGTCACTTTTAAGGCATGGCTTTATACTGACAAATGCAGAGCTGTAAAATTCATTCACAGGAAGTGTAAACAGGCCTTATCACTCATTGGTTTAAAAGAAAAAGAAATAACTCTGAATTGCGTGTTGCAAGAATTATTTCTCTTTTGCGCTTGGAAATATTGACATGTATTAAGCTGCAAACCAAGTGATATCAGGACCTAGGCTTAAGCAATAGTGGGAGCAGAAAAAACACTGCAATTATGAGAACTACATGAAATCAAACATCAGGCAAAATATCTCTTCGTGAATTCTCTGGATAAGTCAGATGTTGTACTTATCTTCTAACGTGATACTTAAGAGAAATGATAGAACTGCTTAAGCTATGGAGAAAATATCAGAAAGGTAGTCCATTCTGATTCTATTAGCATCCAAAGAGAAAACAAGTTTAATGTCAGTTATAAGGCTGTTAAAACTAATTAATCCAACTATATGATCTGATTCACTCATTGCATTAGGGCAAACCATGGTACTGATTTTATTATTTAATTACATTTATTATAGCCACTCACTTCCATAGATGTTGTGCAAATCAAATTTTGCATGCCTGCGTGCATAAACCTCATTCTTGTAATCTAGCTACTCGTTTTTATAGACAAGGAACTCTATTAGAAGAGGCTACATTCTGACAGGTATCCCCTGTCAGAAAATTCAGCAAACAAATATGCTTTTGTTCCTTTAACAACTTTGGGCACCTTAGCTAAATGCTGCAAAAAATATATTCACAAAACATAGCTGAAGAAGGAAATGTAAAACTTGAAAAATTAGGTTCCCCAAAATTGAATCATTAAGAACATTAAAAAGCTTCCTCCTGAGCTGTTGCATTAGGAATCCACTTTGGTTCTAAAAGCAGTTTGTCTCATCAGTTTCATCATAGAGAAAACAAAATGCATCACTAATGTTAAAAGTATTCAGGGTAAGACTCATATAAAATATCTTCTTGAGGGCATGAGTGTGGGATGGGTTGTGTTATAGAGTATAGGGGAAATAAGAATCCTGTCTTTTTAACATCCTTAATGCATAAAGTATTTTAATTATCCCCAAAAGGTTCTCAGAGTAGATTAAGGATTAGAAACAAGGCAGTCAGGTATTTTCAGTCCTACAGTCTGAAAGATATGGTAGCACAAGGGTAGATAGAGGAAAGACCATCAAAGCAAGCTTAGACACTAATTATGTAAGCTATAATTCTGACTAGTTCTTATGAAATATTTCAGTAGCATAATGAAAGCTGCTGGCTAAATGAAAAATGGAGAGAACCCAAATTAGCATGTTCCTCATCGGAGACAATGGGTGTAATGGTTGCTAATACTGTAACAAAGAGTTGGGGAAAAGATAAAAGCAATGTCTACTAGTAGGAAGTTGGACTATACATACTCACAAACACACATAATATCTCTAACAGGTTGAGGGTGGGGAATCTTAATTCCCCCCCCACAATTCTTTTGTACATAATGCTTCATCCCAATTTACTCAAATTCCCATTTCTTTTTCTAATGTTCTGAGAAATTATAAGTTGTCTATGTACAGTTCAAATGATGACAAATGATATACATGAAATTCTGGGTTAAGAATGCCCTACATTAAGGATGTATAGTTAAGACAGAGTCTGTTGTAGCAAAATTTGACTTAAAAATACAATAATTCAAGTTAAATACACAATGGTTCGAGTGCAATACACTATATATAGTATTATGAATAACACATTTGTACAGTTTCTGTACAAATTCAGCTTAAGGACATATTTCAGGAACAGAACTTGTCCTTAAACTGGGGACTATTTGCAATGATAAATAATATTCTGATTATCTGACAGGATAAATTCTGACAGATTATATATGGTATCAAGAGACAAAAACTGTAATATCTGTTTTCTGTTACCAACTTTCATAGCAAGGTCTCTAGATTGTAGAGTGTAAAAAATAAAAAACAACCCAAATCAACCCACTTGGTTTCTTGTCCCATTTAGCATAAAATCTCTTTCATTCTGAGTTTTGATGATAGAAAACTTACTCTTGGGAAATCTTGGTGGGTTGTCATTGACATCAGTCAGAGTGATATTCACTGTTGTGGTTCCAGCCAGTCCCCCGAGTTGACCTCCCATGTCTTTTGCTTGAATGAGAACTTGATATTGTTCCTTAACTTCTCTGTCCATGTTTGGCAAGGCTGTTCTTATAACACCTTTAGGAAGGAAAAATACTGTCTTTGTTAACTATTTATTTATGAAACAGAATTCAGAATAGTTTAAGATGTGTCCCCTAGCACATATATCATTTGGTACTCATTGCTGTCCAGAGACAAGGAATTCTATACTATGATATTACAAGGTAATAAAACGATGCTCCGGAATTTTTGCATTGCATCATTTCCATCTGCCAGTTTAAAAATAGTTTCCTATGAACAGTATTAAATTTGGACAAAGTTGTTGACATCCCTATATCATCTTCTTTTGGGACTGAGGATTGAGCAAGGCAGATATTTCAACTATGGGTATCAAGGGAAGTCCTACATTAGGTAGAACAAAGCAGCAGGTTTAAGTAGAAGACTGGAGCAGGGAATATATTGTGGCCAAGTCTCCATCTGATATCTTCCCAATCAGTCACCTTTGTTGTATTTCAGCGACTCCAGAATACCATGCCATATGGGTCCATCCATTTCCATAGGTTCCTGAATGTGATTCAATGTGCTGGCTATCTCCTATAAAGCCCTACAGGCTATTTGTGGGACTGCTTCTCCTCCATTGTTTCTGGTCACCCTACCAGATGCAGCAGAGGGAGCATCCTCCATGTGTCCTTCACTAAATATACCACCTTGTTGGGCCCTGGAGTTATGCCTTCTCAGTGACTGCATCTGCACTATGGAACAAAATCCCTCCCTCGTCCCCCTCAAAATCTGGATATGATCCTGTTACCCTTTCAAAAGGTTCCAAAAACATGATTGCTCCTCCACATATATGGGCAATCTCTGATGTTGGTGATGTGTTTTATTTTTGTGATTGGACTTTGTATTTTAACCTTGGGCACCACATGTTTTGTTTTTGTTTTATTCCCTGTACATCACCCACAGTCACTTTGAGATGAGTAGTCATGTGCATTATTTAACTAAAATAAATAAATCAAATAAATGGTCTTTTTAGGGAGTCCTGAGCATCCGAGGTGGTTGTGGTATTGGCTAGTACGGAAGGATATGCAAGAGGAAACAGGATGGAAGTAATGTGTTTTTCTTTAACCTCAGCCAATAGGTCCTGTTAAAATGTCCCAGTGGGAACTTCCCTGACTGATGAATTTGGAACCAGGCTGAACTCAGATAAACCCCGAGGCTGAAAGTATATTGGGCATTTGCTGACATACTGAAGAGAGGAACTGGATTTATCTGGTAAAGGACACTGTTTGAGAGAAGAACAATATAATTATATTTATGCATGTATTGAACAAATAATTCTAGTCTTTCTAATAATTCAGTGCAAGAGCAACTGGCTGTCATTCCACCAAAATGCTACCTAATAAAACAATAAATTTTCCCGTCCAAATGTTTATTGTGACATGTCTTCTATTTAGAAATAAAAAACAAAAATAATTGGCATGTTTATAAGTGCCCATATGTAATATTTCCTTCTTTCTTGATTTCTGCTTCAATTGTCAGTAAAATAGAAACAGTCTTTTGAAAAGCAAGTATGTTTGTGTTGTGACATAAACCCTTAGCCAAAATAAATAACTGTATGTAGTTAACTTTCAAGACGAGAAATGTTGAAGATTCATTAACTATTTTTTGTACTGCCATACTATAGAGAGATACTCTATCATGTGTCCATTCACAAAAGTTTTAGAGCACAATAACATTGTGAGGTTGTAAACTGAAAATACTAGCTCACCAGAAGGGGAATAAATATACATGTTATAGACATAGATATTAGTGATATCGACGGGGACATGGTGGCTCAGTGGCTAAGATTCTGAGCTTGTCGATCAAAAGGTCGGCAGTTCAGTGGTTCGAATCCCTAGTGCCATGTAATGGGATGAGCCCCTGTTACTTGTCCCAGCTTTTGCCAACCTAGCAGTTCGAAAGCACGTAAAAATGCAAGTAGAAAAATAGGGACCACCTTTGGTGGGAAGGTAACAGCGTTCCATGTGACTTTGGCGTTTAGTCATGCCGGCCACATGACCATGGAGACGTCTTTGGACAGTGCTGGCTCTTCGGCTTTGAAACAGAGATGAGCACTGCCCCCTAGAGTCGGGAACGACTAGCACGTATGTGCGAGGGGAACCTTTACCTATTAGTGATATCAGGGACATTAAAAATAGATACACAGTCATATAGCACTGCAATATAAGCTAAATATCTGATGTGGGAACAGAACATTTGTTTCTAACGCATAGATTTCTTTTCACTTAGTTTTGTAATGTTGAAAAAACAACAAAGATCAAAAGCAGAAAGAAACTAATGGTCAGAAAAATGAGAAACTGAGGGAAAGCACAACTGATAGATATACCCAACACTAATTTTCAAGGCTAATCCTTCTTCCTATCACCCAAGTGTAAATTGATAATTACAGCAATAAATAAACTCAAGGCCTCCAAAGGAAATAGAATTGGGCTGAGCAAGAACAAAGATGATTTTCTTGATTGTCTTTTGCCAAAGCTTACCCATTCAAAAATAAATGTAAATCACTGAATTTGCCTCAAGGGGAGTGATTTTTTTTTCTTTACATTAACATGATTTCTTTTTCTAAATAGCTTTAGGCTAGTTCCTCATCATTTAGATGTCTTGGGTATTTGCAATTATAGTTATGTCCTTAAGTGTTTAGTGCTGTTCAGTTATAATTGTACCTTTTAAGTAATACATTTTAAACTGTGAAATGGTATATTTCATCCATTTTGTTGCTGACTATTGAGGTTTGCCAGCATTATTAGGAGAATGGAAATGACTCCCCAATTCCAACATTAAGAAAAGAAAAACAATCTGTAGATTGATCTATTCTAGGATGAAGGCAAGAATGTGCTATTGTAGACTAGAGAAGTGCAGGGAATGAAAGAAAGAAGTTCCAATAGCCAAAATCCACATCTAAAAATATTTCGATAGTCAGGTTCAACACCCTATTATTAGAATGCTACTTTGGCTAGGAAAACAGAAAAGGCATAAAACCCCACCTACTGCCTTTCCAACCTTCTACACACATCTAAAGAGGTAGTTTTACATTTCTCACTACAAGGTTTCCTAAGAACAATTTCTGTGCAGCCATTGGCTGATTGGTGGGTCAGCATGAAGCTTGTGTTGTGACAAAGAATGTGCTAATATCAGCACAGGAAAAAATAACACTTAGGAAGGCAAAAGTTATTGACTCCGAATAAGAATTTTCAACAGGGTTGTAATGGTTTTTGTAAGGATTGCAATTGGTGCAATAGTTCTTATTTGGAGTCAATAACTTTTGCCTTCCTATATCCTGTATCCATGCTGGAGAACATTGTTATGTCAACCACAATTTAAGTATCTCTAGGCCATATGAAAATGGTAAAATATCCATTAACTCAGAAAGGTAGAATGAAAAAGTATATAGTTTAAACTCTGGAGTACAGTGCTATATAGACTATGTTTTGTGTACTATGGGGGAATATATATGGTATGTACAGATACTCCTTTATCTGTGATATAAAGACAAATCAGGTTATATCTGAGGGCCTACTGATCAGTAGATCAAGTCCTAAATAACAAGTTAAGCATCTGTAGAGCTTACATTTTATAGTTGATCCTAATCGCACCCGGTCTTCCGGGTGCGATTCAAGGTGTTGGTCATCACTTTTAAAGCGCTCCATGGCATAGGACCCGGGTACCTTCGAGACCGACTTCTGCCACCAATAGCCTCCCACCGGCCAGTTCGCTCCCACAGAGAGGGTCTCCTCAGGGTGCCATCGGCCAAGTTATGCCGGCTGGTGACAACCAGGGGGAGGACCTTCTCTGTGGGAGCCCCAGCCCTGTGGAATCAACTGCCCCTGGAAGTGCGTAAGATCTCCGACCTCAAGGCATTTCGCTGTGCACTCAAGACCCTGTTGTTCCGCCAGGCCGGGCTATCAACATAATAATTTTAAATTGGGTATTTTAAATTTCTGGGGTTTTAAATTGAGCCGAATTATTTAATAATTTTAAATTATTTTAATTGATGTTTGTCTTGTGCTTTTAATAGGCTGTACACCGCCCTGAGTCCTTCGGGAGAAGGGCGATATAGAAATAAAATTATTCTTATTCTTATTCTAATATGAAGCCTGTGTCTTTTGTTCATCCTATGATGAATAACCTTAATGTCTTTGCAATGCTAAGTATTTAAAACTGAAATTCACTTGCTCCTGCTTTGGTGGTTCCTTCAGCTATAATTAATAAAGAAGAAAAGAACAGCAGATTTTCCTAAGGGTATTTCTGTATTGTCATTCACCTGATCCAAAAATGTTGTAAAAGACACAGGAGTTTGGATTTTAAAACTTCTCTATTGCCAGTGAGATCTAATTAAGGGAAAACATTAAAAAGAGGTGATTTTTATCTCCTGGAGCAAGTGGAAGAGGGAGGTAGCTCATCCAAATTAAAAATAAAATAAAAATAAAGCTACTGATTCACTTTTCTGATATGTTCTTTTGTTAAAACAGAGTATATTTGACAAGGAACATGACCTCTGGAGAGCTTGTGCTGTGTTATGCTGCTTCCATCTCCACGCATTGATTAGCCAGGAAGCAAGGGTTTTTAATACTCCATTTGACATTCAAGTAGGGACTCATTGGGAAAACAAATTCCATTTTCAGAAAGGAGGCAGACCAGCAGCCCTGTCTGCCTTGCATTCAAGGCACACAATTGGCAGCATTTAGTGTGGAACATTTTGGTTAAGTCATTGAATTATTAAATACAGAAGCAGGAATGACATTTCAAAATATAGGACAAGATATGCAATTAACTGTCCTCCAATCCCATGAGCATTTCTGTCTGTTTATGCATCTACCCACCACATCCAATGACCTCCAAACAACAAGGCTGACATTAACATCCATTTCCCATCCTCCAATCCGCTACCTGCCAAAAGCAGGCTGCTGAGGGAAAAAAGGACAGATTTCCATTGAACACCAATGTTCATTAAAATACCAGATTAAAATATAATTATAGGAGTTTATCAGCATAGCACATGCTCCAAAGTCCCTACCACTCACATATTTTATATGTAGTTAACACAAGATTGCTGTAAATTTATGGAAGAAATATACATAGCTATGCTTTTTTTTTTTCCATAGAGAGATTGTATTCTTGGAATAATTGATCAGCCAGGAAGCAAAGGGTTTTCAATATTCTATATGTCAATCAAGAAGACAGTCATTGGGAAAAAAACAAAAATAAAACAATCCCAGCTATTCTAAGGGAAGTGGGGCTTGCATGGTAGAACCAGAAGGTGCATCTCTTAAACAAATGTTCCCTCAGAGACAAACATGTAAAAGAAGACTATTAGGTTTAAGAGAAGGATGACACGAGAAGCTACTTTTTTATGTCAAAAATAGGCAGCTTTTTTAAAAAATCGATCTAAATATATTTAATAGCATTCATGGGATTCCTAGTTCTATATATTCTATATTACGGGTGTCAAACTCACCGCATCACGTTGCCATCACGTGACATTTCACAATGTTTCCCCCCTTCGTGGAGCTGGGGTGGGCGTGGCCTGCACGTGATGCATCTGGCCCGCAGGCCACCAGTTTGACACCCCTGTAATCTATATCATTTGATGGCAACTAATAGTTACTACTACTGCACTAACATTTGTGGGGAAAAAATGCTATGAATAAAATGATTTCCTTCTCTATTGTTATGCTACATTATAATAGCCATGCAAGCTATCGTGGATACACCTAGATACACCCACATTACACCAATTCTCTGAGAGCTGCACTGGCTCCCTATTGGTCTCCAGGCACAATTCAAGGTGTTGGTTATTACCTTTAAAGCCCTACATGGCTCAAGGCCAGGTTATCTTCGAGGCCGCCTTCTACCACATAGCTCCCAGCGACCGGTAAGATCCCACAGAGTTGGTCGCCTCCGGGTCCCATCATCTAAACAATGCCGGCTGGCGGGCCCACGGGGGAAGGCCTTCTCTGTGGCTGCCCCAGCTCTCTGGAACCAGTTACCTCCTGAGGTCCGGACCACCCCCACACTATTGGCCTTCCAAAAAGTGGTGAAGACCTGGCTTTTCCGGCAGGCCTGGGGCCATTGATCTCACTGTTGTGATCTTGTGAGATCTGGCCATGAATGGTGTGAATGGGTTTTAATGTTTTAATGTTTAAATGTTTTTATAAAAAATTTTTTAAAATGCATTGTAAGCCGCCCTGAGTCTTCGGAGATGGGCGGCATATAAATTGAATTAATAAATTGAATTAATAAAAATGAGAACTGTAAAGCTGTGCATTTCCAGATAGTGCTGAACTAGAAATCCTAACAGTGGCCCGAATGGGGGATAAAACCAGATAAGGGTTAAGTTCTGGAGATCCATAGTTTCCTCGCAACTGCCCAAATTAATATTCTAAACCAGCTGCCTAATTTTGGTTAGAAAGAGAACGGCACGAATGCAGCTCAGCTAAGAAAGCTTTTGGTTAAATTGCCAAGCTCATGGAAGTTGGAACTGTTCCAGTGCGGTCCTGAATGCTACTCCTATTTCATATAATAGAACCCTCAGTAAAATGAAAATAGCTATATCACACAATCACAGAATTTTTCTTATGCAACAGGACCTGTACAGTTCTTTAACATCTGTTTAGCCCTTTTGTTCAGCAGTTGCTTCTGAAGTGGGAATACAGTTGTATTATCAAAAGAAAGCAGTTGGCATTTTTCAGTGAGCATTAATGGCATTTCTTTTCTTCCTTTGTAATTAGATAAAGAGTGTGGAGATACAGTAAGTGCCAAATCAGCCTGAAACATGGAAGAGAAAAGAAGAAAACACTCCAAAGGACTGAATGTCAGTTACCTGTTTTGGGATCAATGGAGAAATATGGCTGTCCCTGAAGAATGCTATAAACCACTCTGGCACTGTTTCCATAAGTTGGGTCATCAGCATCAGTTGCTTTGACCTGCAGCACATATGCCCCTGTGAAAGGAACAACACATAAAGCTAAACAGATAAAACAGTAAAACAACACTTTAAAACTAGCACAGTCTTGGGTATATCTTTTGCGATGCAACATATGTTTATTATAACAATGTCCTAAAATTCTGGGTTTTGTAACCATAAACTTTCAAGGTGGCAAAACATACACAAATAGGATTTGGTCTAATTTGCTCAGTTTTGTTTTTTGTTTTTCTTTCCTAAGCAATAGAGCACTTGGTCATTTGGGAATGTTAAGATTCTCATTTTGCCTTGAGCAACTGTTACCCTAAATAGACAGGCAACTCTACGAGACAAAGAGTCTTTCTTAATTCTAAACCAATCTAAAGTCACTTTTTTTAAAAAAAAAAATCACATAAGCATTATTATGAGGGGAGGATTTGAAACTACTTCAAATGCATTTACAAATGGAGAGATTTACATCAGTCATTTTGGGCAGTGATTGTATGGTGGTCAGACATAGAGCTAAAATGGGAAGATTCAAGTTCAAAACACCATTCAGCTGTGAAGATTTTTGGATTATTTTGAATGAAATCATTTATTCCCAGCCTATTTCAAAGGACTGTTGTGAGGATGGAAGGACAAAACATCAAATGTACATTGATCACATATAACAAAAGTGAAATATACACACCCAAAAGAAAAACTTAAATATATCATCTATCTTTTTCTTGGTGGAATGGGAACTCTGTAAAAGATTTTAAAGTCTCCATATTGCTGTTTTGTAGTAGGAAGATCTCAGAGGCTCAGGATGGGCTTTTTCAATCAAGCACTGGAAGAGTTAGTAAAGCTTTATAATGGTGAAAATATATAAAGAGCTGGTAAAAATACTCATACCATGTTGTGAAGATATATTACTGCAGTCGATTCTAACATGAGTAATGATACAAGAAAGATCTGATCTAGGGCTAACTTTCTTTTCTTTTCAACTTGCAGTGTTTATACTAGAGTTGTCCTATATATTATGTTAAATAGGAGCTGCTGCCTTTATCAATATTCTAGATGCTAGAAACAAAGAACAATTCTCATCTGCTACTTTGATTCCTCAAAATGCTATGAATATGTATTTCCTCCTCCTTTTTTTTATTCCAGATGTAACAGTCTCCACATGAACAGCTCAGCCATTTCTGATGATAATTTATGAAAAGCTGTATACATGACTCACAGAGGTTAAAGGAAGAATGAAGCATTGATTTACATTTAGTCTTGAAATGCATACTTGGAAGCGCAACGCATCCAACACCATTTTGAAGATTACTATTAGACATCAGGATATTTTGGGACAAACTACTGACTGCAATTTGAGTAGACCTAATGGGCAATTTTTAACATTGTTACTTTTAACAGAAATTCTTGTACACGTAAAATACTGATTATGCTATATGATCTCTCAAATGCTGTTATCCCCCCCCCCCAGAAAAAAGATACACCCATTGCTATCATCAGATACTAATGTATTTTCTGAGCACAACTGAAAGAAATCTTGGATCTGGCTACTGTCTTTCCTCTGTACATAAAACTTACTTTAAAAAATACCCAAATTGTTCCCCACCACTCAGAAAAGAGTTGAAAACAGTATTGCTCAGTGGAATAACATATTCTGCAGGTAAGTTATCCTATATACAATTATCAGCATGTCTTTCTGAAATCTTTTTCAGGATGAGCACTGTATATGACCTTTAAGTAGCAGGCCAGAGACTGTACAACCAAAAAAGGGGAAAAAATTGTGGATGATAAAGAACCAAGACTAGATGGGAAGGACAGAAATGATTCTGCATCATATGCAATGCATTTTATTTTATTGAAGCAATGAGCATGATTAATCCAAAAATATATAATATTCATCCTCTTGCTACATTAAAAATTACTAGTATTCACTTCTGAGAGGCATTTCAAGGAATTCAAAAATTGCTTGTGACGTTGCACTTCATTAGGTACAGTTCTGGTATTGTCAATATGAGCAAAAAGGTCTGTAAAGCACTTTATTCCTCTGCTTCTTAATTATTAAATATATAATTCAGTGAAAGTTACCAAGAACAAATGTTTAATTCCTACCCAACATCCTATTTATGGGTATTTAACACTAAGCAAACTTCATATATATCAGTGTTGGACAAAAACTGCAGGATTAGATTTTAAAACAAGATTCACTAGGCTGTGACAGAAGATTTTGGATTATACTTGGGACACAATTACCCTACAAAAATATTTTTATCAATTTAACATACAAGGTTCTTATAATTCAGATACATATTAAAGTATTTAAACATGGCGTAGGAGCTGTGGTGGCACAGTGGTTAGAATGCAATATTACAGGCTATCGCACTGCTCACTGCCAGGAGTTCGATTCTGACCAGCTTAAGGTTGACTTGGCCTTCCATCCTTCAGAGGTCAGTAAAATGAGGATCCAGGTTCCAGACTAAGAGAGTACCAAGGACTCCATAGTACTCTAGAATAGCTCCATTGCATTACAAATCATTAATTTCTTTATTTTTCTTTTCCTAGATATTTATTTTTCTTTTCCTAGATATGGGAGTTGGAAGGAATTCAATAGAAGATCTCTCTCTCTCTCTCTCTGTCTCTGTCTCTCTCTCTCTCTCAGAGAGAGAGAGAGAGAGAGAAAGAGGAGGGAAGGTAGGAAAAAGGACTTATTCTTGGATGTTTAAAAACTATAGCAACTTTCCATTGTTTTATTCTGGTTTTATTTTAAAAAGTAGGAAAATAATCAAAATAATTGAATTGAAAATAATTGTATATCTGAAACTGATCTCTTTGCATAGGTGAAAATGATCTCCCCTTAATGTAAATTATTAAAATATTTATAACTAATTCAAATTAGTTTTCCCTGATTTTATTTTTAATGCAGCCTTTCTTGATTTCTACATTAGATTATCTAGTGGGCAATGTTGAAAAGGGAGTTTGCTCAAAATTACAACTTAATGATCTGTATCTAAAAATGCATGGAAAGGAGTTGCAAAAATAGAATAGTTGACTCCATCTATCTATCATGCCATAATAGAAGAATGTCCACATCTCAAATAATAAACTATTAGTGCAAAGCAATCCAGATAATATTTGACAATGCCATCTTGGTAACTAAGTAGGAATAGGACCAAAAAGTAGAGATAGGACCAAACAATAAAACCAACCTTTTTGGATATATCCATGAAATTACCGGGAGCCAAGTCTGACTTAAAGAAAACCAGACTGTAGCTTTAAATCCATGCAGACAGGTTATGTAACTGCAAAGATCAAGCACTTACAGTTTTCTTTCCAATGTCCTTGATCGTAATGGAGATACCCCCTTTGATAATTATTCTGCACATACAACTCCCAGACCTTATGGGCAAAATATAACCTCATGTCACAAAAATGGCACATATCAGGAAATGTTGAGCATGTTACCATTACGCTTATAAGACTAATTCAGTCATTGTATGTCTAGTATCTGGGGATAATAAAACAGAGTGCTTAACATGGGTCACAATGGGTAAAAGAGTAGCTGTAGTAGGACTTCATTTCTTGTTTCCTCGCTCTATGTGAATGATGTATCTTTCCTGAATAAAAGGAACTGCTTTAATATTCTTCTCTGTGCTCCCTGACAGAAATAGACAGAGAAACATCCAATCTATACTAAGCATATGCTCCAACTGCTGCATATATTGCCCATATTGCTAAGCATATGCTCCAACTGCTGCATATATACTACATGTAGTAGTATGTTCTGCTACATACATCTGAGTTCATGTTGCTCAGATGTATGTAGCAGAAAAGGCTGGTCATAGACTAGGTCCAACAAACTATTTCTCAACTTCTTAGGTTTACCATAATATTTAGAAAAAGATCTTCAAATCATTATATCTATGGATGCGTCCAATAATTTTAAATTATCCTGACAAAACAATAATTGTTCTAGTGGAAAAGAATAATCTAGTTCAATGAGAAATTCAATCCAGAATTCCCTCCCCTCCTTCATATATGATTGTAATCTTCCTACATTTGAAAAATCTATTTGAAGTCCAAATCCTTCATAAGCCTAAAGAAAATTTCTTGGGGGTGAGGGAAGGATTCAGTTATCTAATTTAACAGGACATACATTTTACTGTCAACTGAGGGTCTTGCTAAGTCATATATATTGCAGGTATAACAAAAAGAAGTAACACTCCATCAATTGTTCATTCAGAGAAGCAAATGATTCAAAATAAGCTCTCCCTTACAAGGATAAGCTTGTAAAAGCAATCCTATGAATGTCTATTCAAAAGGAAATCTAATTTATTCAGATATGCTTGTATAGAATGCAGTCTAAATCTTCAGCATTAACTTGCTACATAGCAAGGGGAATTTACCGCAATTGAGCGACAGATGTAAAATAAAATATTCAGAAGAAGAATACTGTTTGTAAAGGAGAATCACTTTTTGAGATTCTTCTTTTCTTCTGAATTAAAGAAACATATAATGCATTGGGATTAATTTGTATTGAAGAACTTTTTTTTTTTTACTTGGGATTAAGATTTCCTTACATATTGTTTGGGACATTTACACTTAGCTTCTTTCTGTAACTTTCTTGGCGCTATTTTGAAAACAGCTGTTTATTTCTGTTGAACCTTTGCTCAGTTTCTATTTGGATCAGTGGTGGGATTAAAAAAAAATTACTACTGGTTCTGTGGGCGTGGCTTGGGGGGCATGGCAGGGGAAGGATACTGTAAAATCTCCATTCCCTCCCCACTCCAGGGGAAAGTTACTGCAAAATCCCCATTTCCTCCCGATCAGCTAGGACTCAGGAAACAGAGAATAGATGGGGGCAGGGCCAGTCAAAAGTGGTATTTACTGGTTCTCCGAATTACTCAAAATTTCTGCTTCCAGTTCTCCAGAACTGGTCAGAACCTGCTGAAACCCACCTCTGATTTGGACATCTTATTTGATCACCCTTCCTTGACAAAACAGAAGCTTTATGCAAATTCAGCTCAAATATGTATTTAATT